CAAGTCATCCCAAAAATTCCAAATGGTTTAAAACGCACTCCATTAGCTATAAATTCCATTATAGAACCGCAATTCAACAAAATCCCACATCAAAGGTTTGGCAAACCCTGAAATTATACCAGTAATTTCATGAATTGGCGTCAAATTCAACTCATACTCTTCGGTCATCTTCAACTATACAGAACAATTGCAAAAAAAATATTGATAGCAATCATTACCAGAAAGATTACAAACATAACGCCCACAAAAACAACAACACAAACAAAATCAAATTAAAAAGAAAAAAAGCAGAAGATATAGACATATAATAAGCAACTGCATAAAATAAAAAATAGAGATTTTGTGGGTGGGTTTTGTTAATTTGGGGGTACCGGAGAAAAGAGACGAGCGACGTCGAGTTGTTGGCGGAGAAAGCGTCGCTTGAGGTAGGTCTCGAGGATCTCCATGACAGAGACGAAGCGCTTCATCTCGTCGAGACGGCGGCTGAGATCGGCCTCTCGGGCCCTGGCTCGCTCCAGACGCGCCTCCGTGTCGGCCAAGCGGAGCCTCAGGTCTTCCACCACGGCGGCGTCGGTGGGCGGAGGACGAGTCCAGGAGGTGGTAATATCGTCCTTTGATACCAATCGTTGCTGACCGTAACACATGATCAACTAACACGATCTCCCACACACACACACAGAGATTGCGAAGAGTAGTTGGCTTTGGGTTGTACAAATTTATTTATAATCCGTACCGTTCAATTGGAGGAGTGGGTGCATTTCTCTCTGCGTTTTGTTTTTCATGCAGTTTGTCAAATTAGAGTGTTTCTGTTTGGTTGTTCCAAAAAAAATAAAAAATAAAAAATAGGGTGTTTGGTTTCATTCGAAATGGCAAACTAATGTTGATTTGAGATGGTCCCAACTTTTTTAATGAAAAAAAAATTAGGAAAAATTATAAAAACAATCCGTTATAATAAAATAAATCTAAAATTTTTAATCTTATCAATTAAGATTTTTAATTTTTTGATTTTTTTTTGGGATCCACTTTCTAAGATCTTTATTTCATCAAACTCATATTCTTTTTGACTATTCCATTAGGTCCTATTTGAGATAAGAAGACCAAAATACTCTTTTCATCTATTTATGTTCCATTTAATTCACATTATTTTCTTATGTTTCAATAAGTCCTATGAGTGACATAATTACCAAAATACCGTCAATGTGAATGTTCACACCGTCAATGTGAATGTTCATATCGTCAATGTGTAGGGGCCCGGCCCATGTCAATCCTCGTGGGTACCCGGAAAAGTTTGAGTCGGGCCGGGCGGGCCCGGCCTGTTGACAATGTGAATATTCACATTGACATGTTAACATTTACATTGATAGGAGTTTAAAATTAGCCCGCGCCTCGTGACTACCCGAAACTCGCCCACGGCCCGTGGGCGGCTCGGGGCGGGCCCGGCCCGGCCTGTTGACAAAGTGAATATTCACATTGAAATGTTAACATTCACATTGATAAGAGTGTAAAATTGGCCCGCACCCCGTGGGCGGCCCGAAGCTCGACCGCAGCCTGAGGCTGGCTTGGCCCGACCCGTGACAATGTGAATATTCACATTGACATGTTAACATTAACATTGATAGGAGTGTAAAATTTGTCCGCTGTCCGAAGCTTGCCCGTGGCCCGGGGTAGACCCGACCCCGCCCATTAATAATATGAATATTCACATTGACATGTTAACATGCACATTGATAGGAATATAGAATTGGCCCGCGGCCCGTGGGCTGCCTGAAGCCCGTCCACGGCCCGGGGCAAGCTCTGAGCCTGAGCATGTCCGAGACCCTAGGCTAGGGCCTAGGCCATCACTTTGAAGCCCGACCCGGCCCATCAACCCGCTTAAGGCCCATTCAAGGCTCGGTCCGAGGCCCAGCCCACCCGAGACGCAATGTCTTTTTTTGTGGAAAATAATAAAATTTTGGTAGAAAAAATTAAAAAGAATTAAAAAAAATGGTCAAGCCCGCCCAAGCCCGACCTAAGCTCGAGGCTAGGCCCAGGCCCACCGGCCTGACCCAAGGCTCGATCCATTGGCCCGTCCAAAGCCCGAATACCCTTGTACCAGAGCTAGGGCCTAGGCCTAATTTTTTGGCCCGTGGGCCGGGCTGAGTCGGCCCGGATTTTTTCGGACACCCACGAGGCTCGATATGGACGGGCCTACGCATTGATGATATAAACATTCACATTGACGATGTGAACATTCACATTATGGATATTTTGGTAATTATGTCTCCCATAGGACTTATTGAAACATAAGAAAATAATGTGAACTAAATAGAATATAAGTAGATGAAAATGGTATTTTGGTCTTCTTACCTCAAATAGGACTTAATGGAATAGTCAAAAAGAACGTAGGCTGCCCGAAGCCCGCCCACGGCCCGGGAAAGGCTCGTTTGGGCCTGGGCTCGAGCCTAGTCCGAGACCCTAGGCTAGGGCCTGGGCCATCACTTTGAAGCCCGGCATGGCCCATCGGCCCCGTTAAGGCCAATTCAAGGCTCGGTCCGAGGCCTGGCCCGCGCCGAGGCCTAGTGTCTTTTTTTGTGGAAAATAATAAAACTTTGATAGAAAAAATGAAAAAGAATTAAAAAAAAATGCCCAAGCCCGACCCAAGCCTGAGGCTAGGCCCAGGCCCATCGGCCCGACCCGAGGCTTGACCCACCAGCTCGGGCCCGAACCCAAACGAGCCTATCCCGGGCTGTGGGCAGGCTTCGGGCAGTCCATGGGCCGCGGGCCAATTCTACATTCCTATCAATGTGCATGTTGACATGTTAATGTGAATGTTCACATTATCAACGGGCTAGGCCGGGCCTACCCCGGGCCGCGGGTAAGCTTCGGGCAGCGGGCAAATTTTATACTCCTATCAATGTTAATGTTAACATGTCAATGTGAATATTTACAATGTCACGGGTCAGGCCAAGCCCGCCTTGGGCTAAGGTCGGGTTTCACGCCGTCCACGGGCTGCGGGCCAATTTTACACTCTTATCAATGTGAATGTTAATATGTCAATGTGAATATTCACATTGTCAACGGGCCGGGTCGGACCCGCCCTAGGCCGCTGTCCTAGGCCCGCCCCGGGCCGCCCATGGACAGCGGGCGGGTTTCGCGCCGCCACGGGACGCGGGCCAATTTTACACTCCTATTAATGTGAATGTTAACATGTCAATGTGAATATTCACATTGTCAACGGACCGAGACCGCCCCGGCTCGCGAGCGGGTTTCGGGCCGCTTACGGGCCAATTTTACATTCTTACCAATGTGAATTTTAAAATATGAATGTTCACATTATAAAATTGCTAACCGTTCAAAAAATATTTATAAGGGTATCAAAATTAAATATAAAGGCATAAGTGTCCAAGAAAATAGTGAAAATCAAGAAAAAGGACTTTATGGAATAAAACTATACACACATGGGACTAAATGGGTTAAAAATTCCTTCATAAACTTCTTGGGTTAAAACACTTCTAAATGAGATTTATCAATAATTTTTCCTTTTTTTTTTCAATTTAAACCAATCACTTATAAGTAAAATTGATAGAAAAAAGTTATTTAGTCATTAAATTTATGTAGGTGTATATTTAAAATATCATTTGTTTTTTAAGTTTAAAAGTTTAAAATACCATTTTTTTTAATTAATTTTACTTAATAAAAATAGGCAAATGATTTAAATTGAAATCAAATAAAAATATTATGATTTAAATTGATAAAATTAAAAATTTAGGATTATAAACTACTAATAGATCCTAATAATTGGATTTAATTTTCATCAAGTCCTATTGAAAATAAGTCATAATAAATTGTAGCTAAAAATATTTTTTTGTGACAATTTTTTACATATGTCGCTAAAAATTGATAATTATTGACTTTATTTTATTATGATTTTTATAAATCTTCGCTAAAACTTAGAATTAATGACGTTTTTTCTGTTACAAAATTTTCAAACTATCGCTAAAAGTTGAAAACAAAACCATCAAAACTTATTGTAACATGCGGTGTATTTCGGTTCTCCAATTAATAAAATCGAAAAGTTTGTTTCGAAGCTCATCTTTTCCACAATCTTGATCAAGTTGAACCATTTACACCCTCAATTATGCCTCCAAGCCACAAATAATTTCAATATTTTAAATTTAACTTCAATGATAATATGGTGCTTCAATTTCGCACCTGAATTTTTAATAAAATCTCATGTATCGTTAATATATTGATTTAATGAATTTCATCTTTCACGTTTCATATATAACAAATTTATGACACATTGTAAAAAAATTTAAATTTTTTGTCTCATCAAGTTAGACTTCAGGGGAAGAATTTCCAAGTAGGCTTTGGAGTTCAGTAAATTCAATATATCAAGTTCCAGCTAGGAACGATCAGAGCTCAGGTCATTGCAAATGCAAAAAAAGATGAAAGCAGGTTGATCTTCAGCAATTCTTAACTCAGGTTTCATATATAATGGATTTTTTATTTTTTTCAAAATAAGTGAAACGTGTGTTGCTAGTCGTATTCGGTCAAATGTATGATTAGTAACCACAATTTGCATAGTTTGGGAAATAAATTTAGATGGATGATATTTGATTTCAAAGAGGTCGTTAAGTAAGAGAGCCTCACCAGATAACTCTTTTGATAGAATCAATTATATTTGTGGATAAATGAATGAGGTAAAGTATTTCTTAGTCAACTTTATAATAGTTCTAAGGAAAATCTAATTAAAGGATTGCTAAACAAATCATAAGATGACATGTTGGACCTTTGCAATTCTAGTTCCATGGTCCTTTGCAATTCTAGTTCTATGAGATGTTCTGAAGCAACTGTAGATGATCTTTGTATTGTTCTCCTAATTGGTTTTTGCATGGACGATCGCAAATACCTGTTGACACTTCAAAAATTGATTTATATTACTGATAGATTTTAATGATCCCATGGTACCATTAAGATTCAGAATAACCCAAATGAAATAAAAAGAATGTAATCTATAATGGCTAAGAAGTCCTTATTTTGATACTTCCAAACTTGAACAAAGTCTATTTTTATACAACAATACAAATACCTCTCGGTTTATAAATAAATAAGAAAACCCTTTGTATCCACCCCACTATCATCCCTAAAAACACACTGAGGAATGAGAAAACGGGAAAAACAATCTGAATCAAAATAATAGTTTACATTGGAAGTCCATCTCTAAGATCATGGTTCATTTTTTGATTAATCCGGGAGAAGATTGATGACTTCTTCTTTGATTTAGTCCCAAAGATGAATGACCGTAAAGGAACTCGAGGCCGGCCTGTGGACTGCTTCACTTGTGATTGATTGTTGCTCTTTGATGTAGAGAGCTGAAATTCATCATCCAACGTCGCGAGAGTCTTCTCAATTTCTTTTTGAAGTGCACTTACCTGATCTAAACATGCTTGCAATTCATCTCCAACCTTGTTATTCTCTTGTTTCATGTTTAAAACCTCACCTTGGAACTTTGATGCTTCATGACTAGTGAACGTCATTTCTTCTTCTTCCGCACTTGCTTTCAATGCTTTTGTTATCTCTTCCTGGATGCTACACAACGATGAGAATCTGTGCTGCTGTTCATCTTTCAGCAATGCACTTTGTTCCATCCAGAGTGTTAGTTCAGTCTGTATTTCTCTCATGTGCTTGTATAGTGGCCAGACATCTGATTTTATGTCTGTTGTAGCACTTCCTGCTAGATTTAACTTTTCTTTTTCCTTGAGTTTTGCTATTTCAGATTGTAAATCCTGGAACCTGGTTTTAAATTTTGGTATCTGGTGGAATGAAGTGCTAAATTTTAACCAGAAATCCAAGTTGTCGCCCTGAAGTGCATCAATATTCTTTCGAAGCTTTTCTTCAATTGGTGAGATGTATTGAGGCCGGTCGATTAAAACCAATTTGATTTCTTCTTTTTCCTCCTCCTTTTCAGGAGGAAGAAGAATAGAGACAGGTTGGTTGTCTTCTATCAAATCCTTATTTTCAGCAAAACTTTCTTGCAAAAGATTCAGTTTTTGACGCAAGGACTTAATTTCTTGATCCCTCTTTGAAATAGCACTCCTCAGTTGTCTTAGTTGAACTGTCGTTTCACAAAGGCTGTCTTGACTTCTCTTTTGCACATCACCGAGCTTCTTCCTAGCGTCTTTGTAATTTCTCAAAATTACACTGTACTCTGTTAAAAGAATGTCTTCTTTATCCTCAAGTCCATTTAGGAGCATCTCCCGCCATTTTAGCTCATCGACTTTCTTTGCTGCCACCTTTTGTGGTTCAGTGTTGACAACATTATCTGTTGTTTGGAACACACCATGTTTATCAACCTTATCCAATGATTTTGAGTCTTCCTGTGCCTCAGAAATTGTATCTGCATCATCATTATATGACTGCATTTGAATGACTTTTTCTTCTTCTTCCTTTTCTTCTTGAGTGTTGACAGAAATACTTACAACCTGTTCATTTGTGTCCCCTGCTATTGTTTCTTTGCCAGGACTTTCCAAATCTTTGTGTTTTTCCATCTCTTCTGGCATTTTGACTTGAGCAGATAGCTCTTTTTCTTCTTGTAATGATTCCATATACTTGAGGTCTTGATCAGGCTTCATATTATGTAGTGTCTCCGACAGGTGATCAAGACTACAACGAGCTTCAGTGAAATCTGATTGGAGGCTGTTGCTTTGCTTTTCAATATTATGGTTTAGATCTTGAAGTCCATCAAACTTTTTCTCCATCTCACTCAACTTGTTGGTCAAAGTGTTTGCGCCATCTATCAGAGTTGCCTTATCATCTTCCAAGATCTGAATTTGTGATTGAAGATCATCGGTTTCTGTCCTTAATCTATCTATAAGAGCTGTTTGAGAAGAAACTGAAGTTTCCAGGCTAATCACCTTACTCACAAGCTCATTAATCTTCTCTGCTAGATCTGTCACAGTGAAAGGTTCTTTGGAGTCTACCTCAAAGTACTCCATAATCTTCTCATGTAAAGTGTCCAATTCATCTCTCGCTTGTGTCACATCACCTTCATTTGAGTTCAAGCATTGTGGTTCCTCTCCTTCTTTCCCATATTCATCTTCGACATTTGTCTTTTCTTCGTCAGCTTGTTGGTCAGGAAGAAACTTGTGCTTTAGGGACCTAAGTTTCTCTCGAGCATCCTCAACCCTTTTGTACTCTGCTCTTGCCTCTGAGTTCGACCTCTCTTGTTTCTCCTGCAATTGAGCCAATACCTCTTCGCATGATTGTAGAGCCGCTTCTGCCATTAAAGCTCGAGCTTCATCATCCTCAATGACCTTGGTCACCCCGAATTCATCTTGCAAGTTGAAAACTCTCTCTTGTAGTTCTGTGGTCTGGTTCTCGATTTCCCAATACTTTGCAAGCCCACTTTCATAAAAGCTCTTCACATACTCTCTCACAGTTTGTAGGCCCAAAATTTCTTTATGAAGCTTGTCAACCTCATCAAATGCCTCAGAGTTGCTCAAACCAGATTCAGTAGAAGCAGTTTTACTAACATTTACTTCTTTTGATGACTCCTTGTTTTGCAGTTTCTTTGATGCTGGTGATAAGTTCAAGTCTCTACTTGGAAACTTTGGAACCTTTGTTGATGCTTGTGAAAGATTCTTTGGAGCTCTAGAAGAACCATAGTTGTCTTCTTCATCCATTGCTAATTGGGCTCGTTCTGGAAAAACAGTAGCAATGGTGTTGTTGGCATTTTGCAACTCTGTAGATAAGTGGTCATACCGTTCGGCCAAGGCACGGTAAGCTCGGTAAGATTCTTCAACAAAGGTTACTAGCTCTGGCCTTCTCTTATAATACATTTCTGCCCTCTTGGCAAAGGAGTCTCCATCCTCTTCAATGAGTTTAAGCATACTCTCCACCATTCCTTCCATGTCTGCAGTTCCATAGAATATTGTTGGTATGGAATGGATAAAGAATAGACCCATTTGGAATTGGGTAAATTCCAAGAAATGTTTATCAAATTAACATGTTTTAGCAATAAGATTTTAACCAACCGCCCAAAAAATGGAAGAAAAATTAGAAGACAATGATTAACTTCAACAAAAATATTCGAATATTGCTTCTCCACAAAATCTGGTAGAAACTTTGATAACTTGAAGTTTATTCAGGTTTGATAAATGTCAGTAATTTTAAGAACACACAAATGTAACAATAAATGTATACACAATGTTCGGTGGGTTTCATATCAAATGAAAACCTACATGCAGGCTTCATATTGTAGTTGGTAAATATGCTAGCGTTAATCAATTTGGTCTGAATTCTCCGACACCATTGAAATTTCAATTGAATTACTATTACTAAATTAAAATAATTATTAAGGATTTTCTTGTGTTTTTTTTTTTTAATTTTTTTTTTTTTTTGAATAACTTGAAAATTTTATTTAGAGAACTTTTTTCAAAATCTATTTTTGGGAAAATACTTTAAAAACAACACTTTTGTTTTATAAAAAAAAAAGGTCAGTTATTTTCATATAAAATTAAAAATGATATATGCTTTCAAACTTTTTCATTGGTATATTTTTTTTCAAATACATTACCAACAAACCCTAATATTTTTATGGGAATTGTTTTCTTGATAATAGACGAGTCCATATAAATGCTTTATAAGGTTAATCATATATAAATAAAATTTTCACACAGAATCAGGGACGTAATTAGGATTTTAGCACTAAAGGGGGTCAAAAGATGAATATATTTTTTCACCAAATACACAAGCACATATATATGTACAATATGCTATACATGTGGGATTTCATTATTGAAGAGGTCAAACGAATAAATTTTTTCACCAAATACACAGCACACATATATGTACAATATGATATAATATAACAGAATGCAAAATAGAGATTTTTTTTTAAAAAAAAAAAGAGAACGCAAGATGGAGAAAAAAATGCGATTTGGATAAATTACCCTTGAGATTTGAGAAAATATAGTTAGCACTACACTTTTGACATAATTATACTATTCTTCCTTGAGGTTTTAATTCACATAACAATTATATAATTTTTTATCAGTAATTCATTAGTCATATGAATGAAAAAATAATGGTGTAATTTCTTTTCTACTAAGGTGTATATTTATCTTTGTTTATTTCAATGTTTACTCATCATGTGCATTAATTTCAATCACTTTAACCTTATTAAAAAGGAAATCAATATAATTTTATCAAAATTGTTAAATTAACTATATTTTCTCCAAATCTTAAGGGAGGTGAGTGCAATTTACTTTTCTTTTTTTTTTTTAGAAGGCCATTTTATTATATACAAATGGCATATATTAGCAGGGTGATCACAACCCTCATAATTTTCTGCTAGTTTTCGCTCTATACAGAATTGTATATCATTTATATTCAATCATTAACATTAAAATTCTCATCATTATTATTATTAATGACAAGGATAATAATGGTAGAATGACCATGTTTTCTTATTATGTTATGTTTACCCCATTATGTCTCAATACCATATTAATTTAAAGGATTTCACCACTCATATTTGTTATTAATACATTTCCGACACATAAGGTGTTAAACACAATATAACAAAGAAAACACAGTCATCCTAGCATTATTCTTAAAAGAATGCAATTGTCACTTCATTTTGGTTTGAAATTTTATCTAAAAATTCTGTAAGAATATCATTTTCCAAATAGAATAATGACAAACATTTTGTATCATACCTATGATTAATTGTGATAAACATTTTGTATTTATTATATAAAAATATAAACCAAAACCCAAATGGTGGTGGTGGTTTTGTTAGTACCTTGAAGGCTTTGTTCGAGCCATTTTGATTGCTTTGTTCTGACATGGCTTGCCCACCACCATGAGTATGCATTGCTTGCAGCTCTCTGCAACATCTCTCTAATTTGAACTTTTTTTTTTCTTTCTTTCTCTCTCTACCCCATGGACATGAAACACTGAGTCCCAAAACAAGGACACAACAAAGATAGGAAGCCCTTGGAGGTTTAGGAAGTGAAAAAGTTCCATGTATATATGGAGCACTTTTCAAGGTTTTGAGATAGAAAAGTAAACATGGGAAACAATAAGAAAAAGGAATGAAGGTAATCTGCATAGTCAAGTCCCCAACCTAATCATGGTTTTATGGTTGAGAGTTACGTTCTCCCGAATTAAGCGTTGGACCCTCCATTTTGAAAAAAGCCCAAATAAGAAAGAGACAGCCATCCAATCGATGATAATGACCATTTTGTCATGTGTTGGCACTCACATAAAGAAAGAAAACATATCTTCTCTATGTTTTATTGGAATAACTTTTATATGTCGATAAGACATTTATATGCAAATAAGATATATATTTTTTTATTATTGTGATTAGTTTTGATGGTATGATTCATTACCTTTATAGTAGATATTTGAGAAATAATAAAATACATACATTTATGATTGATATAAAGTGATGTCAGATCATGCTCTAATGCATTCAAAAATTTCTCCTTCTACTACATTACAACCTTAATCTTGAAGACATCATCATTAGGCCAGAAGGCCCGCGGCCTGGCTCACGTCCATTTGGGTTTTTTGTCCGGCCTATGTTGGCCAGGTTAAGTGAGACTAGGCCGTTTGGGTCAAGCTCATTGGGAAAGACTTGGCCAGAAGGTTTTGTCCTACTCGCCGACCTAATTCGAGACCTCCAAAAACCCAAAAAAAAAAAAAAAAAAAAATTTACATGAGGAACGAGCCAAGGTTCTCTCCTTGCAGCCTGGTACTTGCGCCCGTCCTTGCAGGCCTTCGGGTCTACTTTTAGGTCCAATTTTAATAATCCGAACCGTTCATATTTTATGATTTATTTAGTATATCATACCTGTAAAAAATCAAGTTGATCGGATATCAGAAAGTATGTGTTCGAAAAATTGAACTAAAAACTATTTTTTAAAGAATTTAATAAACAATTTTCTGAACATATGCTTTCTGATATCCGATCAACTTGATTTTTTACAGGTATGATATACTAAATAAATCATAAAATATGAACGGTTCGGATTATTAAAATTGGGCCTAAAAGTAGACCCGAAGACCTACAAGGACGAGTGCAAGTATGAAGCTGCAAGGAGAGAACCTTGGCTCCAGCCCAGGAATGAGGATCCTCTCCTTGCAGTTCCTGTGCTTGCACCCGTCCTTGGAAGCGGGTGGCAGAATCGTTTACGGTTCGATAATTGGGAGGGAACAGGTTGGTGATGAGAATGCGAACCGTTCCGAACAACTTCAAAGACATCTTCAACGTCTTGTTTCTGACTCTAACTTTCCTGATTTGCATCTACGAAGCTCCCGCAGATCTCCGGTCGGAAAGTCTTAACATTCTGAAGAATCAACTCGCGTGTCCACGATCGAGAGAGACGACGAAGCTGTTGGCGAGACTCGTGGGGTCGAGTTCGGAAGAACAGGGGATGAGATCGGTAAATTTCGCAATCACAAATTGGATTGTGGAGCTTCAAGCCATGCTCAATCATAGCATCAAAACTCCATCACCTCTGTTTTCGTACGGAGTTTCGAATGTTGGGTTGTGGAAAGGTCAACTGTATTGTCCTGTGATTGCCACGGATGTTGAGAAATCGACCAATCTTCCTCCTGATAAGTGATTGTGGTTCTCTTTGAACCATCACCAGCTTTAGGGGGTGATTCAATTGAATTACAAAGTGATTGTTTGAGAGAAGTGGGTTGACGTGATGGTGAACGTAGATAACATAAGGTACGTTGATTTCTTTGAGGGGGGAAATGGAAACAACAAAATAATCGAAATAAACGTTTTGTGAGCTAAATTACCAGAGAAATTCTCAATCCAGAGAAAATTTTCAACCCAGAGAAAATTTAGTTTCATTGCCAAATACTCTAGAGAAAATTATCAATCTAGAAAGCTAAAAAGCATCACTACACAACAGTTAATGCTGCATAGCTATGCACCTATTACAGTTGATGAGCCTTGGCAAGTCGAGCCCAATATTGCAAATCAAGCAACATTTGGAGCATCAGCAAGATCTCACCTTGTTTAGGCTAGAGAACAAGCTCTTGAAAAACCAGTTAGAAGCAAGCTCAAGTTTGAGAGCTTCTATTTGCACACTACAAAAATTCTTGAATTTTCTCTGGCTTGGACCAGAGAATTTCTCTGGATTAAATTGAATTTTCTCTGAGTTTAGACTAAAGAATTTCACTGGATTGAATTTTCTCTGGATTGATGTTGAGGGACCTTAGACATTATAAAAATATTGAGTGTCCTTTATGCTATAAAATCATAATACCAGGGACCTTAAAAAAAAACCCCTATTATTTATTGTGTTAATTTAATTATCAATACTACATTAGACGTATACTGATTTGGGATCCCTTACACTAGTATTTTATTTAAATAAAATGGTAGGTATAATATAACATAAAAATGTGATAAGTATGACATTATTAGTTATGGAAATGGCTTCCCTCCTCGAGGATACTTTGGGCCCGTGGGGGCCCACCACGAGTCTTGTTTCGATAATTCGAACCATTCAAGGTGTAGAACTCGTCGAGTACTATATGCCTGTAAAAAATTGAGTAATATTTTGAATTTTTTTTATTTGAAATTAAAAAAATAGTATATGAAAAACTTTGGAGAGTCTAATGTAATTATGTCAAATTTATAAGATTTACTATATTTTTTTACAATTTCAAGAGATCAGTGTAATTTACCCTATTATTTATTGTGTTAGTTTAATTATCAATACTGCATTAGACGTATACTGATTTGGGATCCCTTACGCTAGTATTTTATTTAAATAAAATGGTAGGTATAATATAACATAAAAATGTGATAAGTATGACATTATTAGTTATGGAAATGGCTTCCCTCCTCGAGGATACTTTGGGCCCGTGGGGGCCCACCACGAGTCTTGTTTCGATAATTCGAACCATTCAAGGTGTAGAACTCGTCGAGTACTATATGCCTGTAAAAAATTGAGTAATATTTTGAATTTTTTTTATTTGAAATTAAAAAAATAGTATATGAAAAACTTTTAGAGGGATGATCTTCTCGAATGCTACTATTTATGAGATTTTATTTTGATAATTTAAATCATTTGATTTTTAGACCACAACATGTAAAATACTGATAAAAAAAATTAAAGTGATTTGAAATTGGAAAATTATACAATAATTTCAAAGTACTACGTGGCCATATCCACGTTAGTTTTATGATATTTATTTGTAAAACAATTGATAGACAAACATAATTTGAAAACTAGGCTATCCAATTTTTAGGAAATAAATGCAATAACTAAAGTGGTTATGATTATTAGATCGATATGTTTTTTTTATGGATGATTTACTCATTATAATCTAAAAAATGAATTATTTGAATTACTGAGGTGGGGCTATAGTGGACCCCACGAGCTCAAACAATACCATCCGTTCAGTGGACTGGAGATAGATTGATCCCAAATTTTATCATCAAATTATGGCAAAACAAGTTAGCAATTATTTTTTAAAAAATTATTGCTGATAACTTTTTGAGAAAATTGGTTTGGAATATTTAAAAACAATTTTCTAAGTTTTCAATTCATATTTTGTATTTTTAGTGATTTTTTAAAAATATTTTAATTATTATTTTTTACTTTTTAGATTCACTTAATCTTGATACACTTAAAAAGTATACAATTTGTACAAAAATCTTTAAAATATTTATTGAATACAATAAAATACGAAAATGTATTGAATTTTCATATATTTTTTGTAAATATTTTTGTATTTGGTATCTTTTTAAAGTTTTTTTTTTCATAAATATTATATTTTTGAAGTGTATCTAAATTAGATGTATCGAAAAAAAATTGTATAAAATATTAAAATATTAACTAAAAACAAAAAAAATACGAAAAATAAAAAATTCAATTTGCAAAAAAATAATGTAAACCAATTAAGTTTGTATTTCTACAAAAAATTTATAACTTTAATTATTAAAATTGATAAAATTTTTCACTAATTTACAATTATTTTTGAAAACTTGCACTGAAGTGCAATTTTCCTTTACTTTTTTTACTTTTTTCTTAAGTATTTATATTGAAATATTATAGGAAAAGCGTAATTACTAATTGTGTTTCACCGTAGTTTAAAAATAAATTTGTTTGTACACTATTTGTTTAATTTTGAATAAAAAAAAGTAGGAGAAATTACAACAAAAATAAAAATCTTAGGGTTTGACCCTTATAACAAAATAAATTTTGAATTCTTAATTTTTTTAATTTAAACACTAATATTTTGTTTGTTTTTTTTCAATCTAAACTATCTGCATATTTTCGTTAAGTAAAACTAATGGAAAATAATATTTTAATGATTAAATTGAATAAAAAATGACATTTTAGACATTTCATTTCATGTACATCTATACATTGAGTTTAATGACTAAAATATATATTTTTTCCCTCACTTTTACTTAACGAAAATAGGCAAATGGCTTAAATTGAAAATAAATCAAAACATAAAGTTTAAATTGATAAAAAAAATTCATGATTTATTTTGTTATAAGAGTCAAATATTGAAATTTTTTTTTGTGTGTAATTGTCCCAAAATTGTAAAAGGGTTAAGGACAGGTTATATCAACATTACATGCAAAATATTTATTCAGCATTCTTGAAACAAATTTCCGAAGTCTTTTAATTTGATAGAGAATATGGTTCATCATTTTTATGTAGTTATTTTGATAAATAGTTTATAACATTATTCTAAAAGTACTAGTGTCGTTTGGAAAGTAGGTTGCATTTTTTACTTTTTTGCCTATTTTAATCTGGGGCTAAAAAACCTGATTTAGGAAGGGTTTTTTTGATTTTTTTGTAAGAGAAAGAATGTAATGATTATGGGTTATATGTAATGTTTTGTCTTTATTGGACTAAAAAGTCTATTTTATTTTTTGTGACTATTTTAGCCAGAAAAAGCCTCAAAACTATCTTTCCAAACGGAGCTTTGATTTTTACTTGATTGAAACCAGGTAGGAAGAGACCACCAACTATAACAATCCTCTTAGACATAATTAAAAAAGTTCTTACTCATCAAGGAGCTTAACGACTTAGATGGGATTAGCAAAGCAAATGTATTGCACATCGGGTGCCACAAGTGCTCCATGAAGAAAGCTTGAGTCATAAATTGATCCCAACTCTGCCAGAATCCTCACAAGCAAAATTCAAGAGTGGAGAGGGATAAGAACCACAAAAATGATGAAAACTCAAATTTAGACCCACTTGCACATCCAACCCAATCCCACTTGCTATAGACTACCACCCTTTCCGAGGAGGCTCAACCAACAAGGGGGCCTCTTTGCTGTCCTTTTTGTTTCTTTTGCTCACGAAAAAAGCCGAAAATTTTTATTTGGCAATTGTTTTTTTCTTCATATTTTAAGGAACACAATTTGCTTTCTTATTTTTTTAAAAATATTTTCACACAGAAAATGAAAATGACGAGCCTATTAAATAATGTTTATATTTATAATTTTCTATTTCTATTTATAAAATTTTTAAAAAATGTAAACAAAAACTGGTTAATACCTATTTTCATTTTAAAAAAGTAATAAACAATTAACAAAATATACTAAATTTTTATAATAAAAATAATTTCAATTGTTTAGAATGTTTTTTTAACGTCTTTTCCCACCTCTCCCACCCACTCAGACCACCACTCACCGGCCACCATCGGAGATGATATTCCCCGACAACCACACCTCTCATTGTCGCCAATCACCTCTCATTGGCACATACAATACTATCTTAGGTGGCTAACTCTTCACCATCTCTGATTATCAACAATCACTTCTGATTATTATTTAATGCTCATTTGATCCAATTTTTTTCCCTGCACACATTAATACTCTAGCATTAGCCATGGAAGTGGTCCAATTGAAGATTCACTATGGCGGGCATGGGGTAGAACAGGAACACTATTTTCATTAGGGACAAAGCTAAAAGAAGATGATGAAGGATCATGACTTCTCTGTTTTTGTAAGAAACATAATTTGTTTTGACATTTTAAAAATATATATTTTATTTTATATATAAAATGATTTCATAATATAAAAAATACATATCTCATTCTTATCTCATCTTGTATTCTCTTTCTATTTTACATCAAATTTTTTTTTTCATCTTATTAGAAACTGCTTTTATGATATTTAGGCCTAGTTTGGCATAATACAAAAAATTCAAAAAGTCAAAAAATCACTATCCTATCTAAGTCACATCATCTCATTTAAATCACATCATCTCTCTACTACATCATTTCAAACTCAACCCATATTTCATGTTTTTTCGTAAAAAATCAAAAAATATACTTATTTAAATTATCCCGAACAATTTTTTGATGTATATAGATATAATTTATATGTCATATTATACATACATATATATTTATAACCAAATCTTAAGCCCTATCAAATGAGAATATATATTTATGTACATGATAAAAAAAATTTATTAATCTTTTAATTCCTCCGATGATAAAATTCTAATTCCCTGTTCACCAACGAAAGGAAGAGATCAGTCTTTTGTACTGATACCACTACTGTGGCACAACAGACAAGAAAATGTTCTCAAGTAATACTGGGAAATAGGAGAATATAAAGAGCAGAGCAATAAGAACGAGAAAAAAGGTTGTGAGGTTTCTGTTTGGTTAGACATATCTTGGAAGTGCTTCCACTGCTTCAAAGTTCCAAGAAAACTGTGTCCAGGATGCCAACCAATTAGCACATGTAAAGAAAGATAATTGATAATATAGTCAAAAATGTGTTTAGATCTTTAATTTGTAAAAAGAAAAGGAAATTGGTAATAAAAAATAAAAAATGTAATTTCTACTGTATTCACTTATTGCTACTTCATTCTTTCCAAACACAGCAGAAAGACACAAAAGCACACGAAATAAACTGGTTGGCCTTTGATTTCATAACTTGAGAGAAGCAGAGAATTATTTACAGCAGCTGGAAGTCAGAAGCACAAACATGCTTCAAATATTTCACAGACGCAGTATTTACAATAAAGAATCTGCATTTTACATGTAAAGCAGTCTGATCACGTTACGGTTTGACCCAAACCTAACCCTGATAACCTGAAGAACCTAACATAATGAGCTGAAAACTTCAAGATATATGTCTTCTTCCCCGTCATTAGTACTCCAAGGCGCAATTAACAGCATTACCCACAATTTTGCCAGATTGTAGAGAAAGAAGGCACCTTTCTTTGTTTTAATTTCATTTTCTTTTTTCTTTCTTCTTTTTCTTGTCGGTAAATTTTAACTATTTTTCTTCCCCTTCTAAATATCTAATCTATATCATAACAAACTCTATTCAAATATTTGCCTCAGAACTAGTACAGTAACCAATCAGTATGCTTCAGCGCTATGGAAGAGAAGAAAGCCACTGCTCTGCATACTTCTTGCCATCTGCATATCCAACCCAAAAGAACAGAACTAAGCATGATTGACAAATCGTAGGCCTACAAGGTAATAGAAACCGAATACAATTGCATTTTCCTTCATCAAAGTACAAGTAAAAAGTAACTAAAGAGCCCAAACATTCAATAGTTCAGCTCAATACTGAGTCAAGTACACAAGTAACTAAATCAAGGGCCCTTGCAGAAAAGAAACATCATAAATGGTATTTGAAATCAAGGGCCCTTGCATTTTCTTTTTTCTTTTTTTGGACAGAATAGGATGACCCTCAAAAGCTTAAATGAATGCCAGCCATTTTCAGAGGAAAATCTGCCTGTGTCCCATTAAGATCCTTAGTGTTGCGTTTAGATCATAAATTTGGATAGAGATTTGAAAAATGAAGGGAGATGCAGAAAAAATATAACTTATCTTTCGTTCACATTTCCCTCTACTTTTCATTTTCCTCTTCAAATCACTATCTAAATCCAAGATCCTCACCTTTTCATTTTCCTCTCCAAATCACTATTTAAATCCATGATCCAAACAGAACCCAAGTTTTTGGTTAGTTAGACGAGGTGGATAGGATTATAAATTTAAGTAGTTTCTCAACATTAGCAAACATGTAGATTCCGTTTTGAACTTTTGAGTAGTCCACAGCATCATATCATACTCTCTTCATTTCATCATTGTGGTCAACCCAGCTGCCATTAGTATCTTTGCAATGTAAAACAAATAAATGAAAAATTAAAAGTCCCAGAAAAGCTTCAGAAGTTTGGCAAGTAATTCCAGCTCAATGAATGACTTACAAAGAAATGAGCAAGGGAAATTGAAATTTTGACTATAAGAATTAGCTCCAAAACTGTCATAACAAACATTTGTCTATTGTTCCAAACATTGATTGATATTTTCATTTTGTAGTAAAACCAATACCAATATAACTGCATCCAGTTACACAACATAAATACAATTTTGATAATGACAAGAAAAAAGCAGTATCATGTAAAGATTAACCACTAAAACAGAGGAGTGTAGGTGATATAACACTTCACTTTTGGGGAAAAGAAAAAAATACAATTATGAACAGAAAATATCATAAAGACATGAAAAAGAAACATAAGTAAATATACTACTTTGCAGAAAAGGATAAAACTGCTGCTTTATTACCCCTTTATTAAAAGATCAGTGCGGCAAGCATATCTTCATCTGCCCATATTTTGTGTACAACAATGGTTAAGGACACCTAAAAATCTTGGCGCTAAACTACTACTTTCGTCTGTAGATTTTTAGGTGTTAATATTAATATCTATACTCTTTTTGAGTATGGTGGTATTATATACTTCAAACAATTTTCACAGCCTTACCTTAGCAAAATAAAAATGTCATAATCCATTTCACAACAATAAAACTACAAAACGAAGGATATTTCTCCTTTTCCTTTTCCCATTTCTGATTTCTGATATTATTATTATTATCATTATCTCAAACCAAAAAATATAACCAAACCATGTATAAGATCTATAAAACATGATAAGTAAAACAAACTAGAAACTTAAAATTAAAGAGAAATTTTACAGATGATAGAATGGGTCTTACCAGCATACTTATTGGGGAGGTTCTTGATGACACTTGAGAAGTGAGTATTTGGGCCCTCCTCCATCTCCTTGCAATCATACCTGTAGCAAGGAACCAGCACTGCAAAACTGTTGTCTGCCTCATCATCACTCTGGAAATCAGGGGCGTGTGGTTCCGACCACCCAATTGACCAGTCCGAGTCATCGGATTCAGACCCCGACAAACAAACACCATCTGATGGCACCAATATAGCATCATATTCCTTGTCAATTCTCCTCTCTTCCCTACTTTGCCATTTCCTCTTAACCTTTCGGGTTGATGAGGCGGCAATCTTCGCCCCCTTGACAGTAGGAAATTTCACATTTTCCAATTCCCTCAAACCCAAACCCCAATCCGAAGAAGAATTTAGGGAAGACCCATTAGAGACAGGCTCTTTGTCTTTCCCACCCCACAACCAACACGACAAACGAGTCAAAGAAACAGCCATTTCTATGAACTCGAAGAATATATATATGACGAATGAGTGAAGAGTTCTCTGAATTGGAGCAATATATATATATAATTGAAAGCTGAAAATCAGAGGATAGAAAGTGGTTCCTGACAGTTGTAGCAAACTACTGTATCAGGAGATGATTAATTTCATTTAATCAATTAGATCAACCAAATTTAGGAGCACATCTAATCCAAACCAAACATTAACTTCAACTATAATTAGACAAATCCAAAGCTCATCAAATGATTTACAAAAACGCTTTTCTAAGTCTCTCTTCCTCTATGATCAATTATTGACTCCTCGTTTACCATAAATAGAATCTCCAAATAAGGAAACAAAATTAGGCAACACTTGAAAGCAACTCAAAATCCATAATTGAACAGAAAAAAAGAAAAAATAATAAAATTAAGCGTATCTAACACTCCAAAGTACCTAAAGCACACCGAAATTATCAAAGAAAATTGAATCTGATTAAATTGAACAGATCAAAGAATAGACTTGAAAAAGCACGGTAGATGCAAAATAGGGGATTACACGAGTTTTGCAGGTTCCATATATCACCGGAAAATGGGAACTTCTTTGCCGACAATAGGGAGTTTTGAGGGGAATCGAACGGTGATACCACCGGAAAAAGGGGAATTTTCGCCGGAAAGGGAAAGATATTAGAAATCTAACGGTCGTATCACCGAAAAAACCGAAACTCTAGTCGGAGATTGAAAGTTTTCAACAAATCAAACGGCGATGAAGAAACCAGAGACTCTTATGGCGGACAGAGAACGCAAAAAGGGTGAAGTTTCAGGGAGTTCGAGTTCCGAAACCCTAGCTATCTCTTTCTCTCCAACACTTCCATTCTCTCTCTCCCTCTCTCCACCACACGCTCTCCTCTCTCGACCACACGCTCTCTCTCTCTCTCTCTCTCTCTCTCTGAGAAATCAACTGACAACTTTTTGTTTCGTCGAGTAGTTGATTGATATAGACGAAGGAAAGAGAATATCAGGGTGGGTCTCGACCCGGCCCGGCCAGCTTAGCACTGGTTTGGTTATCATTTTGGAGCTAATAAAGCACAAAATAATTAAATTAATTAATAAGGTAAAACACCACATTTAATTTATAATTATTATATTTTTTTTCTCACAAGTGAAAAAAAGTCAATAAAAATCTAAACAAATGAGGCTAAAAAAATTCCAACATAAAAAAATTGATTATATTAACTAGTGCCAAACGAAGTTTTAGAAAAAATATAAAAAGACTTTCTATTTGGGAATCAGTGCTACATGTATTAATTAATATATCAACATATATTATGGTATTATTATTGACGTCACCTATTATATATATTACAAATTACAATCTTTTAGTTGGTTTTTTATTTTTATTTTTTTTCTATTTTAGCCTGATTAAAAAAATTATGTTGTGAATGATATTTGATTTGATAAATAAGTACACTTACGTGTTATTTATTTTTTTATTTTTTTTATAAAAAAATTAAAATATATATTTATTTAGATTATTTTAAATAATTTTTATATTTTAATAATAATTTTGTATTGAATAATACAATCTGCAGAGTCATATCATAATATAATTTACATTCGTGTGAATATTCATATCATAACCGTCGATCATATCACTCTAAAATTCAATTTCAACCATTACGATAAACATGGGATTTAAGGTCGAAGTCAAACAAAAGTACAGATAGTTTCAAATTCACAATTTTTTTTTTATTCACAGTTAAGGACGAAAATAAAAATTTTATTTAAAGGGGGTAAGGTAAGGTAAGTGTAGCTAAAAAAATAACAACAGAATGGTTATGAAAATTTAGCAAGAAAATCAATAGAATTATATCCAAAAAAAAATTTAATACTTAATCAATTATTTATAAAATTTTGAGCTATATAATTAAGATTTTAGTGTAAAATTTATTAGATTTTTAGTGTAAAATTTATTAGATTGTCATTTTAAAGTATTTATTGGTTGATATAATTTATATAATTAAAAACTATACTTCCATATGTTTTTTTTAATCAAAATACTAATAAATGGATTTTACAAAGAAAATCAATATAATTCATAATATATGAACGGAAAGACTATTGTACACAAATAAATAAGAAAATGACATAATTTTATATTTTTTGAATCATAACTAAAAAAAAAAAAAATCATAACTACATATGAGATATACACAAAGATATCATGGATTATAACTAAAATAAGATCATAACTAAAGAAAAAAATTGGTCATAATTAAAGAAAAAAAATAACATAACTGAAGAGTGTATGTGATGGGGAGTGTGTATAATAAAATTTTCCATATATGAAATAGTTAAAAGTTATGTCATAAATATGCTAAGAACATTTATAAAATAAAGGGTTAATAAAAAAGTTTAAAATTCAAGGGACCATTTATGGACACATAATAGAAATCTCATAAATTATAGGGGTACTAATAAAATTTTGAAAAACATAGGAGGGGCCATTCCCCCTTGCCCCACCCTCCTCCCTGTTTGCATGCAGTGCCCAATTCAATGTAAATGTTCACATTTGGTAATATTTGTTTGGATGAATTGAATAAAAAGATATTATAATTTAGCGAATTGTTAATCCTAAGATATTATAGTCTTTGAATTATTTAGTTAGATAAGATGTGTATTCTAAATTTGTTTAGTGATGAGATTAAATATAAGGAAATGAATATTTTATTGAATCTTATGTTTGTTTGAGATTAGGGGTGTGCATAATATCGCCGAAACCGCCGAACTCGCCAAAATCGCTCCGAACCGCATCGCCAAGGCAAATTCATTATTATTTGTCAATCGAACCGCCGGTTTTTGGTAAGAAAAATGGCAAATTCTAGTGACACTTTTATCAATCCACCGGTTTCTATTTTTCTTCCAAACTGCACCGACCCGCACCGCTATTAAATCATGTTTTATAAGATTCTAAATTTTTTTTTTTTACTTAAGTTTGCTTGTTGTTCTATACCTTAGAATATAGTATTACATTACTTCTCGAGGGGATTCAAGATGTTAGTAATCCAAAATAAAGTTGGATTCCAATTCACTTTTCAATCTTTTTTTTTTCTGGCCATGTTGCAAACTTGCATCAGCTCACTTTTCAATCTAAATACTTTTTAACAGTAAACATTTTCAATATATTGTAAACCCTGAATGATATTAATTTTATGTATTGTATTTGATCATTGTACCTTCCACAGATACTTGTAATGAACTGATGACATAATCGTTGATATTATCATGTTGTTGCTACACTTGCTGCATCAGAAGAAAGTTTCGCAAGATGCTTAACATCACGGTATCTCTCGTCTTTTTTTTACTCTTTGATTTAAATTTTATAATTTGAATTATATTTTTTATAAACTGCGCCCAAACCGCCAAGGCAAATCCGTCACTATTTGCCAACCGAACCGCCGGTTTTTGATACGGAAAATGGCAAATTCTAGTGACACTTTTATCAATCCGCCACCCGCCATACTGTTTTGTCATGATATTAAATATAAGGAAATGAATATTTCATTGAATCTTATGTTTGTTTGAGATATTATAAAGAAAGATAAATATTTAAAAGACAATTTACCGTTTTAAATTGTTTACTAAGGCTTCGTTTGGCATAACTTAAAAAAGTCAAAAAGTCAATATCCTATTTAAGTCACATCATCTTATTTAAGTCACATCACCTCTCTACCACATCACTTCAAACCCAACCCATATTTCATAAAAAGTCAAAAAGTGCACTTATTTAGTTTATCCCAAACAACCCCTAAATAAATCAATATTAAACATGTCTTTAATATTTTAATTTTTTTGGGCTAGATTAAATAAAAATTTATTTTATTTTTTTTAAAGTTAAATAAATAAATTTTTAAAAAATTACATAAATAAAATATTAATAAAAATTTGTGTTATTTTTTAAAATAATTTTTTTTATAAATTTACTTTTAAAAAATAATTATTATTAAATAAAACATCAATAAAAATTAAATTAAATTATTTTATTTTTAAATTTAGACATTTAAATTTTATTAAATATAATACATAATTAAATCAAATAGTTGGAGCGCAAATATGTCATTTTACTATTTAATTGCATGAGATAGTTATCCCACAAATTCTATCTCATACCTCCACAAGAATACAATAGTCCCATATTTGTGGGATTGATAGTCCAACAGGAATCCTTATCTGACTTACAAATTTACAACCAAATAAAGAATTCCATAATCCAAATAGACATAGTATCCAATCTCTCGTGATTTCAAAAATAATGTTGGTGCAAGACAACATTGAGGATGATAATGGATGCCCATCGAAATCACTATGAAATTCACTAGGATTTAGCAATGAGACTAGAGGATTGGTATAAGATACTCATAGTGGTGGATTCATGCTTGGGAATTTTTGGAAGTTACCTTTCGTTTATCGTCAGTAAGGAGATTAGAATTTGAGCTGCAATACATGGGCGATTGGAATATTTGGGTATTTATGTATTTTTTCATCCCACGTGAAGTGGTGGTTTGACAATAGGTTTTTTTTTAGTTAATTTTTTGATTTTATTTTTTATTATTTTAGCTTTGGATTAAAATTTTGTTTGGTTTGACTTTTTTGACTTTTATAAAAGAAAAAGTAAGATAATTATGGTTTGGATGTGAATGTTGGAGAATAATAGTTTTTCGGCAATTTTAATTCCAAATTAAAGTGGGACTCAACTGCTGGTTGACGTAAGGCTGGGTGGTTTTGTATTCTCTCATGTGAGAAGATTACAATATAAAAATGATGAGCCGAAATCATTGAGTTGTGAATGAGAATTGTCTCATAAAGTGGGCATCAATAAAAGTTGGGCTTAGATCTAGACTTAGTCTCAGTTTGGACTGGGCCTAAGCTTGTGCTTGTGCATGTGCTGGGTTTGGTCTTGGACTTGGATTTAGACTTAATTTTGAGCTTAGGCTAAGCTTTGTTGTGTTGGGCTTAACTTGTGCATGTGTTTGAAAATTAAGCTTGGATCAGGTTGTTACCCAATATTAGTATTCATTTTGTGACCCATTTAGTTGGTTTATTCAAACATCATTATTTAAGCACATGAGAAATGTAAAGTTTTGTAACTCTCATCTTTTGATGATGGAGTTGATGACCATATTAGCGGCCGTAGGGTTTCAACTTTTGTAACTCTAGTCTTAATAGCTAGAGTTAATGGCCTTGGTTAATGTCATTTGATGGCTCTATTGATGGATAGCCTTCATGGCTAGAGATTCTCTTACTTGTATGTATAGAGGTCCTTTCCCTCCAACTTGGTAGGATAATTTTGGAGATATTTTTGATGAAAAACGGAGATGGTGTTTTGAGATAAAAAGTTGGAGATGTTTTTTTACCAAAGAAAACTTTTCCTATCTTCTTTTGCTAGCCTTTTCTTTGGTTTTTGTTAGAGAAAGTGTAACCATTGTCAAATTCGTCGAAACTATTCAAAAGGTGCTTCTACATTAGCTGGTTTCAACCATCGTATCCCGGGAGACAGACGCCGGCGTACCTCAGTATTCATCGAGAGGCGATGAATCTGGTTTAAGGAAACTAGTTAGTGTAAGTTTCGGTTTGCTTCTTTTCTTATCATTTGTTCTTATTTTTTCAAAAATTTAGTTTACAAAGATGAGTTCCAATATTTGGTTATCCATGTTAATAATTTGTTTTACTAGTAATGTAATCTAATTTATTTCTATATTTTTAGTTGTGTGGTTTATTCTATATATCATTCATTAAATAAAAAAAATTATTTTGTCATTTCTATTTAATTTATTTTATATATTTTTCTGATATTATTCTTAAAAATACCAACAATCTTAAAACATATTTTTTATAAATAGTTTTTGAAAAAACAATTTAGCTTTTATTTTAATTTTATTCTAGTAACTTTTGGAAGTAAAATTAATTTAATAGCT